TGTGTACTGAAACCAGTTTGGATGAGCAAACCCTCGGTACCTGTCTCCTGTTTGCAGTTGGTTGCATGTGGATGCACTACAAAATGCAGCACATCAAGATGCAAATGTTATAAGTCTGGGCAGATTTGCATGTTTGAATGTAAATGTGAGGCATCAGGATGTGCCAGTCCTGTTGGGAATGAAGATGACTAAATATTGGGGAATTCCATAGTTTGCTGATATTATTTTTTGTGATTAGCCGTACATATATAAAACAAATATCGCATCAATGAGGATCTTTGGTTGTATATGTTGAAGTATGTGTTATATAGATGTGGATAGAGGTGTTTTAGGTCGAACCTTTACATTTAATTATTTGATTTATTTACTCACCTGGTCCGAAGGACCAAGGTGAGCTTATGCCATACCGTTGCGTCCGTTGTCCGTACGTCCGGACGTCAACAATTTCTTTAAACGACTTCTTCTTCTTAACCACTGATTGGAATTCAACTAAATTTGACTGGAAGCATCCCTAGGCGGTAGGGATTCAAAATAGTACAAATGGTGGGGCTGACCCGCAAGGGGGCTGAGAGGCGGGGCCAAAAGGGGTAAATTTGGCTATATTGCTTTAAGCGACTTCTTCTCTGGAACTAAGAAGATGATATCAACCATATTTGACTGGAAGCATCCCTAGGTGGTGGGGATTCAAAATTGTACAAATGATGGGACTGACCCCCCAGGGGGCTGAGGGGCAGGGCAAAAAGGGGGCATTTTTGCTATATTGCTACAAACGACTTCTTCTGTAGAACTATGCCATGGATATCAACCATCTTTGACTGGAAGCATCCCTAGGTGGTGGGGATTCAAAATTGTACAAATGGTTGGGCTGACCCCCCAGGGGGCTGAGGGGCGGGGCCAAAAGGAGTCAATTTGGCTAAATTGCTTTAAGCGACTTCTTCTCTGGAACTAAGAAGTCGATATCAACCATATTTAACTAAAAGCATCCCTAGGTGTCAGGGATTCAAAATTGTACAAATGATGGAGCTGACCCCCAAAGGGGGCTGAGAGGCAGGGCAAAAAAGGGTCAATTTTGCAATATTGCTATAAGCAACTTCTTCTCTGGAACTAAGAAGTGGATATCAACCATATTTGACTGGAAGCATCCCTAGGTGGTGGGGATTCAAAATTGTACAAATGGTTGTGCTTACCCCCCAGGGGGCTGAGGGGCGGGCCAAAAGGAGTCAATTTGGCTATATTGCTTTAAGCAACTTCTTCTCTGGAACTAAGAAGTGGATATCAACCATATTTGACTGGAAGCATCCCTAGGTGGTGGGGATTCAAAATTGTACAAATGGTGGGGCTGAGGGTGGGGCCAAAAAAGGGGCAATTTGGCTATATTGCTATAAACGACTTCTTCTGTAGAACTATGCCATGGATATTGATCATATTTGGTCGGAAGCATTCATGGGAGGCAGGGATTCAAAATTGTACAAATGGTGGGGCTGACCCCCCGGGCTAAGGGGTGGGGCCAAAAAAAGTGTATTACTTGGAAATGGTTGAGATCCCCACCATATAACCATGGTATACAATTGCTGAGTATAAAGAGAAGAATGCACATTTGCTTCCAGGATGGCTATAGGGTCTGGCCCCACCCTTGGAGACATAGTCCCTGGGCCATAACTTTAAAACTGTTGAGATCCCCACCCCAAAACTATATATACAAATGCTGGGCATAAAAAGACGAATGCAGTCATGATATCAGAATAGACCCTGGGGTCTGACCGAACCCCTAGGGACCTAGTTTGTTAGTCACAGCTTGGAAACAGTTGAGAGCCCCACCCTATAACGGTATATACAATTGCTGAGTATAAAGAGATGATTGCACATATGCTTCCAGGATGGCCTTGGGGACTGCCCCACCCTTGGAGACTTAACCCCTGGGTCATAACTTCGAAATGGTTTAGATCCCCACCCCAAAACTATATATACAATTGTTGGGCATAAAAAGACGAATGCAGTCATGATATTAGAATTGACCCCAGGGTCTGCCCCACCCTTGCAGACTTAACCCCTGGGTCATAACTTTGAAAAGGTTGAGATCCCCACCCCAAAACTATATATACAAACACTGGGCAAAAAGAGACAAATGCAGTCACGGTATTAGAATTGTTCCTGGGGTCTGGCCACAACCCTAGGGACCTAGTTTCTGAGTCAAAGCTTGGAAACAGTTGAGATCCACACCCCATAACCATACATAAAATTGCTGGGCATGAAGAATCTAATACAGATATACTACAAGGATTGGCCTTAGGGTCTGGCATATTCCCTTGATCTCATTCGGAGAATATTTTGCCATGATTGCTTTGGTATCCAGGTGAGCGATACAGGCCCTCTGGGCCTCTTGTTCACTTGTGTTCGGATCATTCCCTTCTATTGCGCAATTCAGTGCTACAATAACCAATAACTTTACTTTTTTGTTGCAATAAAAGTGTTATGTCACCTCTTTTGCATTTTATCATTCCAGCAAAACAAAGTGTTGGTGTTAACAATATTTTTTGTGAGGTTTGAAACTGATAAATAGGAACAATGTTCGAATATTTCCATAAAACGGTTAAAATGCACCTAATGACCTTTTGACCTATTTAATATCGTTTTTTCAACAAATAGGGGGTGACAGCCCCCCTAGCGTGTTTTGATATATATTAAACTTTACAAATAGGATGTCTGTCGAGCATGAACAAATTTTGCCAACGCAAGTCATATTTTCTGAGATCCGAGGCAGACTACCTCCTTTGTAACTGATGTAACTGTTTCTTACTTCCTACTCTGCTCTGCCTTTCTTGTCTGTCTGACTGTATACTTCTATGGATTAAGCAGGGTGAAAGGGCAACACATTTACTGGTTAGCCCTTCAGTGTAAATATATATCCAGACTTGTAACTGATGCTTTTGATGCCCTTTTCAACCTGATCTGCTAGGCGTCCCTTACTCAAGGACTAGGATGCCGAGGCAGGCTGCCTGTAAGTATTGACTGGAGTGACCAGTTGGTAGGCTACAAAAGACTGTAAGTGACACCTAGAATTGACTAGCTGCACTGCTCTGCTAGACGCTTAGTAAGTCAATAGTGCTGTGGGATTGTTTGAATTTCAAACTTAATTGTATTGTGATGTGATTGATTCGCCAAACTTAATTGTATTGTGATGTGATTGATGTGGAAAGATGATTTGAAAATGACTCTTAGAGAATACCTACACTTTATCTGCATCTGAATTGAAAATTAAATTTCACTTAAGATGTTCTGAATATAGAAGACACATAAGATGACATGTTGCATGTTTGTCGTGTAACAGACAAGCGCGTTGACATCCCTTACAGGTAAGGTATTGCTCTAGTTCAAGCAATATGCTGTAGGTGAATGCTTTTAAAGTTTTACTATTCAGATATATGATAGTATATATGAATTAGAGTTTTCAGTAATGTAAATATAGACAAGGACTATAAATTAGTATAAAGCTTGTAGATGTCTGACAGATGAATATTGAAAATACAAGACTTATGACAGTGATGTGACTTTTTAGTCCCCCATCTTTATCAAATTTCTTTTCATCAGTGATCTGTCAGTACATCCTTAAACAATTTTTGTTATAAAAAAAGTACTTCTTACATCTTTCTCAAATTTCATTTGTAGTTTCCTTAATCCATAGTTGTGCATGTTTCATTTTAGGACCAATTAGAAAAACAGGATGGCCACCAGGCAGCCATCTTAGGTTTTAAGAGTTCAAGTTTGTTATCACTATTTCTTAAGGAATAATTGACAGAACTTCTCTAATTTCATATGTAGGTTCCCTTTTGTCCATAGTTGTATATATATATATGTTCAATTTTTGGACTGATCAGAAAATCACCTGGCAGCTATCTTGGATTTTGAGAGTCTAAGTTTGTTATTGCTGTTTCCCAAGAAGTACTCAACCGATATTTCTTAAACCTCATATGTATGATTCCCTTTGTCCATAGTTGTGCATGTTTCATTTTGGGACTGACCATAAAAACAAGATGGCCACCAGGCAGCAATTGTGGATCTTAGGAAGTAATAAACCATGAAAAATTACCACACATTAAAAAGACACTCTTAATCCAAGAAGTGTTATTGTAACAAATACATCAAGACTTGTGACATAATTGTGACAAATACATCAAGACTTGTGACATTATTGTAACAAATACATCAAGACTTGTGACATAATTGTACCAAATACATCAAGACATGTGACATTATTGCGACAAATACATCAAGACTTGTGACATTATTGTAACAAATACATCAAGACTTGTGACATTATAAGGGCCCCGTATCGGAGATACGGGTGCCCTGTAGTAATCACTCTGTCTGTCTGTCTGTCTGTCTGTCTGTCCGTCCACAAATTCTGAAAATACCTGATAACTTTGCTATCTATTAACCGATGTACATGAAACTTGGTCAAGATGTTCAGTTCACAAAAATACACATTGAGGTGAAAAGTCAAGTTCAAAGGTCGCATCATTAGGTTCAAAGGTCAAGGAAAAAATTTACATCTTTTCACTGATGAACATTTTGTTATGACATCATGAAGCAAAGTTGATCAGAATTAAACAAGGAGTCAACTGACCTAAGGTCAAGGTCATCGGGTCAGGGGTCAAAGTCAAAGTTTGTAGCTTTTCACTGGTGAACATTTCGCTATGACACTTTGAAGCAATGTTGCTCAGAATTAAACAAGGAGTCAATTGACCAAAGGTCAAGGTCACTGGGTCAAAGGTCAATGTTAAATTTTGTACCTTTTCGCTGATGAACATTTTGTTATGACATTATGAAGCAATGTTGTTCAGAACTTAACACAGAGTCAACTGACCTTAGGTCCAGGTCACAGGGTCCTAAGGGTCAAGGTCAAGTTTTGTATTTTTCACTGATGAACATTTTGTTATGATATTAAGAAGTAAAGTTGGTCTGATTTAAAGAATAACTCAACTGACCAAAGATCAGGGTCACCGGTTTAATGGTCAAGGTCATTTGGGTCCAAAGGTCAAAGACAAAGTGGATCTCTGACTTTGACCCTGGCTGTTGATGGAGGAGGTATATAAGGTGAAATAAAACAAATCAAAGCTAACAAATGAGACTTGTGACATTATTGTGACAAATACATCAAGACTTGTGACATTATTGTGACAAAAATAATAACTCTTGTGACATTATTGTGACAAATACATCAAGACTTGTGACATTATCGTGACAAATACATCAAGATTTGTGACATTATCGTGACAAATACATCAAGATTTGTGACATTATTGTGACAAATACATCAAGACTTGTGACATTATCGTGACAAATACATCAAGACTTGTGACATTATTGTCAATACAATTAGAATTGAGATATTGATTGCTGTTGATACTAGTCGTGTCACCTTCCTCCCTGTGACTTGTATACAGCTTACTACCCACTCTAGTATTTAAACTGTTTTGCCCTCAGCACACAATATGTTGAAATACATTGAATGCATGTTACAACTTCACTACTTTTGTATATTCAGGGTATAATGGGGGGAAACCTTTTAATTTTCATCAACATGATATTCATATTGGATGTAAATGTTCAGTGCAAGTCCTGTGTTCGAAAGTGCAGAATTTTAATTGTACACTATAAATCTCATTCTTGTCTAACTTTCTGCTATGAAGAAGTACATGCATGTTACAAAATTAATATTACTATCACTGTAATAAACTCAGTCTTGTGTTTCTACATTGTATATGCTGAACAATGACTTTCGTGTATATTGATATAGAACTGTTCCTGTTCCTGGTGCCCAGAGCCAAAGGGATGCTTCAAAACCCGCGAGGAGTATGCTCTGTACCTCTTCCACCCCAACAACAGGTAAGTTATCCAGACAGGTGTCACTCTAACAGGTAAAATATCAGGATAGGTGTCCCTACAACAGATAAATAATCCAGACAGGTGTCCCTACAACAGATAAGTTATCCAGAAAGGTGTCCCTACAACAGATAAATAATCCAGACAGGTGTCCCTACAACAGAAAAATAATCCAGACAGGTGTCCCTACAACAGATAAATAATCCAGACAGGTGTCCCTACAATAGATACGTTATCCAGACAGGTGTCCCTACAGCAGGTAAGTTATCCAGACAGGTGTCCCTACAACAGGTAAGTAATCCAGACAGGTGTCCCTACAACAGGTAAGTTATCCAGACAGGTGTCCCTACAATAGGTAGGTTATCCAGACAGGTGTCCCTACAGCAGGTAAGTTATCCAGACAGGTGTCCCTACAACAGGTAAGTAATCCAGACAGGTGTCCCTACAACAGGTAAGTTATCCAGACAGGTGTCCCTACAATAGGTAGGTTATCCAGACAGGTGTCCCTACAGCAGGTAAGTTATCCAGACAGGTGTCCCTACAACAGGTAAGTAATCCAGACAGGTGTCCCTACAACAGGTAAGTTATCCAGACAGGTGTCCCTACAACAGGTAAGTTATCCAGACAGGTGTCCCTACAACAGGTAAGTTATCCAGACAGGTGTCCCTACAACAGGTAAGTTATCCAGACAGGTGTCCCTACAACAGGTAAGTTATCCAGACAGGTGTCCCTACAACAGGTAAGTTATCCAGACAGGTGTCCCTACAACAGGTAGGTTATCCAGACAGGTGTCCCTACAATAGGTAGGTTATCCACACAGGTGTCCCTACAACAGGTAAGTTATCCAGACAGGTGTCCCTACAACAGGTAAGTTATCCACACAGGTGTTCCTACAACAGGTAAGTTATCTTGACAGGTGTCCCTACAACAGGTAAGTTATCCAAACAGGTGTCCCTTCAACAGGCAAGTTATCCAGACAGGTGTCCCGACAATAGGTAGGTTATCCAGACAGGTGTCCCTACAACAGGTAAATTATCCAGACAGGTGTCCCTACAACAGGTAAGGTATCCAGACAGGTGTCCCTACAACAGGTAAGTTATCCAGACAGGTGTCCCTACAACAGGTAGGTTATCCAGACAGGTGTCCCTACACCAGGTAAATAATCCAGACAGGTGTCCCTGCAATAGATACATTATCCAGACAGGTGTCCCTACAACAGGTAAGTTATCCAGACAGGGGTCCCTACACCAGGTAAATAATCCAGACAGGTGTCCCTGCAATAGATACGTTATCCAGACAGGTGTCCCTACAACAGGTAAATTATCCAGACAGGTGTCCCTACAACAGGTAAGCTATCCAGACAGGTGTCCCTAAAACAGGTAGGTTATCCAGACAGGTGTCCCTACAACAGATAAGCTATCCAGACAGGTGTCCCTACAACAGATAAGTTATCCAGAAAGGTGTCCCTACAACAGATAAATAATCCAGACAGGTGTCCCTACAATAGATACGTTATCCAGACAGGTGTCCCTACAACAGGTAAATTATCCAGAAAGGTGTCCCTAGTTATCCAGACAGGTGTCCCTACAACAGGTAGGTTATCCAAACAGGTGTCCCTACAACAGGTAGGTTATCCAAACAGGTGTCACTACACCAGGTAAGTTATCCTGACAGGTGTCCCTAAAACAGGTAGGTTATCCAAACAGGTGTCCCTACACCAGGTAAGTTATACTGACAGGTGTCCCTACAACAGGTAGGTTATCCAGACAGGTGTTCCTACACCAGGGAAATGATCCAGACAGGTGTCCCTGCAATAGATACATTATCCAGACAGGTGTCCCTACAACAGGTAAGCTATCCAGACAGGTGTCCTTAGAACAGGTAAATTATCCCGACAGGTGTCCCTACAACAGGTAAATAATCCAAACAGGTGTCCCTACAACAGGTAAGTTACGCAGACAGGTGTCCCTACAACAGGTAAGTTATAACCAGACAGGTGTCCCTACAACAGGTAAGTTATCCAAACAGGTGTCCCTACAACAGGTAAGATATTAAGACAGGTGTCCCTACAACAGGTAAGTTATCCAGACAGGGGTCCCTACAACAGGTAAGCGATCCAGACAGGTGTCCCTACAACAGTAAGGTTATCAAGACAGGTGTCCCTACAATAGGTAAGTTATCTAGACAGGTGTCTCTACAACAAATAAGTTATCCAGACAGGTGTCCTTACAACAGGTAAGTTATCCAAACAGGTGTCCCTTCAAGAGGTAAGTTATCCAGACAGGTGTCCCGACAATAGGTAGGTTATCCAGACAGGTGTCCCTACAATAGGTAAGTTATCTAGACAGGTGTCTCTACAACAAATAAGTTATCCAGACAGGTGTCCCTACAACAGATAAATTATCCAGACTGGTGTCCCTACAAAAGATAGATTATCCCGACAGGTGTCCCTACAACAGGTAAATAATCCAAACAGGTGTCCCTACAACAGGTAAGTTATCCAGACAGGAGCCCCTACAACAGGTAAATTATCCAGAAAGGTGTCCCTAGTTATCCAGACAGGTGTCCCTACAACAGGTAAGCTATCCAGACAGGTGTCTCTACAACAGTAAGGTTATCCAGACAGGTGTCACTACAATAGGTAAGTTATCTAGACAGGTGTCTCTACAACAAATAAGTTATCCAGACAGGTGTCCTTACAACAGGTAAGTTATCCAAACAGGTGTCCCTTCAAGAGGTAAGTTATCCAGACAGGTGTCCCGACAATAGGTAGGTTATCCAGACAGGTGTCCCTACAACAGTAAGGTTATCCAGACAGGTGTCCCTACAACAGGTAAGTAATCCAGACAGGTGTCCCTACAACAGGTAGGTTATCCACACAGGTGTTCCTACAACAGGTAAGTTATCTTGACAGGTGTCCCTACAACAGGTAAGTTATCCAGACAGGTGTCTCTACAACAGGTAGGTTATCCGCACAGGTGTTCCTACAACAGGTAAGTTATCTTGACAGGTGTCCCTACAACAGGTAAGTTATCCAAACAGGTGTCCCTTCAAGAGGTAAGTTATCCAGACAGGTGTCCCGACAATAGGTAGGTTATCCAGACAGGTGTCCCTACAACAGTAAGGTTATCCAGACAGGTGTCACTACAATAGGTAAGTTATCTAGACAGGTGTCTCTACAACAAATAAGTTATCCAGACAGGTGTCCCTACAACAGTAAGGTTATCCAGACAGGTGTCCCTACAATAGGTAAGTTATCTAGACAGGTGTCTCTACAACAAATAAGTTATCCAGACAGGTGTCCCTACAACAGGTAAGCTATCCAGACAGGTGTCCCTACAACAGTAAGGTTATCCAGACAGGTGTCCCTACAATAGGTAAGTTATCTAGACAGGTGTCTCTACAACAAATAAGTTATCCAGACAGGTGTCCCTACAACAGTAAGGTTATCAAGACAGGTGTCCCTACAATAGGTAAGTTATCTAGACAGGTGTCTCTACAACAAATAAGTTATCCAGACAGGTGTCCCTACAACAGGTAGGCTATCCAAACAGGTTTCCCTACAAAAGGTAAGTTATCCAGACAGGTGTCCCTACAATAGGTAAGTTATCTAGACAGGTGTCTCTACAACAAATAAGTTATCCAGACAGGTGTCCCTACAACAGGTAGGTTATCCAAACAGGTGTCCCTACAACAGGTAAGATATTAAGACAGGTGTCCCTACAACAGGTAAGTTATCCCGACAGGTGTCCCTACAACAGGTAAGTAATCCAGACAGGTGTCCCTACAACAGGTAGGTTATCCAGACAGGTGTTCCTACACCAGGGAAATGATCCAGACAGGTGTCCCTGCAATAGATACATTATCCAGACAGGTGTCCCTACAACAGGTAAGTTATAACCAGACAGGTGTCCCTACAACAGGTAAGTTACGCAGACAGGTGTCCCTACACCAGGTAAGTTATCCTGACAGGCGTCCTTACAACAGGTATGTCACTGTTAACATCTCAGACAGGTGTCCCTACAATAGGTAGGTTATCCAGACAGGTGTCCCTACAACAGTAAGGTTATCAAGACAGGTGTCCCTACAATAGGTAAGTTATCTAGACAGGTGTCTCTACAACAAATAAGTTATCCAGACAGGTGTCCCTACAACAGTAAGGTTATCAAGACAGGTGTCCCTACAATAGGTAAGTTATCTAGACAGGTGTCTCTACAACAAATAAGTTATCCAGACAGGTGTCCCTACAACAGTAAGGTTATCAAGACAGGTGTCCCTACAATAGGTAAGTTATCTAGACAGGTGTCTCTACAACAAATAAGTTATCCAGACAGGTGTCCCTACAACAGTAAGGTTATCAAGACAGGTGTCCCTACAATAGGTAAGTTATCTAGACAGGTGTCTCTACAACAAATAAGTTATCCAGACAGGTGTCCCTACAACAGTAAGGTTATCCAGACAGGTGTCACTACAATAGGTAAGTTATCTAGACAGGTGTCTCTACAACAAATAAGTTATCCAGACAGGTGTCCCTACAACAGGTAAGTAATCCAGACAGGTGTCCCTACAACAGGTAGGTTATCCAAACAGGTGTCCCTACACCAGGTAAGTTATCCTGACAGGTGTCCTTACAACAGGTATGTCACTGTTAACATATTGAACATTGAAGATTAGGATTGTTTAGATAGCCTGCCTAAACCTACAGGCTTACAATCATGGTTTTTAGCCCTCCATTATCTGATGGTGGGCTATTCAAATCACCCTTCTTCTGTGGTTTGTCGTCCATCCGTCATCCGTCCGTCGTCCATCAGTCCTCTATCATACATCTGTCCTTAAACAGTTCTTGTTATCGCTATTTATCAGAAAGTCCACGAGGGATCTTTCTCAAATTTGATATTTCCCCTTGGTCTGTAGTTGTGCATGTTTACTGTTTAGACTGATCATAATCATAAATTAAAATGGCCGAAAGGTTGCCATCTTGAAATTTAGCAGTGAATGTTTGTTATTTCTACTTTTGAGACTGATTGTATAAACAAAATGACCAAAAGGTGGCCATCTTGGATATTAACAGTGAATGTTTGTTATCTCTATTTCCAGGAAATTCTGGAGGGATCTTTCTCACATTTGATATGTAGGTTTCCCTTGGTCTGTAGTTGTGCATGTTAACTTTTGAGACTGATCTGATCAACAAAATGGCCAAAAGGAGGTCATCTTGGATTTTGACAGTGAATGTTTGTTATCTCTATTTCTAAGGAAGTCTTTGAGGGATCTTTATCAAATTTAATATGCTGGTTCCCCTTGTTCTGTTATTGTGCATGTTTACTTTTGAGACTGATCATAAAACAAGTTGGCCACAGAAAGTACTAATGAAATCTTTCTGTTTTTGTAATGATCTGATCTATTCCTCTTATATTTAAAGAACTGTGCTAGTAAATATGTGAAACAGTGCATTTACTGTTTACATGACTTGATCAAACAGATAAGAGAAAAGAAGAGAAAAAATAAAACTGACATAAACTAATAAGATGGTATTGCAATGGTGGGTGCCAAGATCCCTATGGGATCTCTTGTTGGTAAATAGCATGCTTGGATGAAAGGCTATAAGTGACCTTGCAAAATAAGTTAAAATATTCCAACAATGGAAGTTTACTTTTATACTCAGCACCCAAGCGCTGAGTATTAAATATCCCAAGAGAAAAACATCAATAATGCTTGTGACTAATATTAAGAATATTTAAATAACAATCTGTTTTCTGACCAACTTTAATTACAGGTGAGTGATACAGGCCCATTTGGCTTTTGACCTTTAAATAAATATGAATGAAACCATTTTGTAGAAAGTCTTGTCAACTTTTAAAAGACAAAATAAGAAATAATGCATGGCTTACATTTTTATAGTACTGTATTTATACCTGTAACAAAGTCTAGATTAACTACTGACAGTTATTTTCCTTTTCCAGGCTCCGACGGCTGTGCCATCATTTCATGGCGCAGAGTTTGTTTGACAACATGATTCTCCTGTTTATTGCCCTCAACTGTATCACGCTTGGCATGGAGCGACCAGATATTCCTCCAAAGAGCGCTGTAGGTTATGCTTCCGATTCATTTATTTTTAGCTCATCTGGTCAAAAGGACCAGTGAGTTTATGCTATGGCGATGTTGTCTGTCTACCTTTTCTTTCTAAAATACTACTAATCCTGAATGGCTTAGTGGATTTTGACTTAAGTTTGCCTGAAGCATTCTTGAGCAAAAGCAAAGGGGTCTCAATTTGTATAAACCAAGGGTTTGACCCAACCCCAGGGGAAGAGGAGGGGGCTCTAATAGGGGGAAAATCAGAAGAAAAAAAAGTCTAAAATCCTTCTTCTGTACAATTCAGGGATTCAACCAAATTGGTCCAGAGCATCATTGGGTTAAGGGGACTCAATTTCGAACACAAAGTGTGTGGTCCCCTGGGGCAGAGGGGCAGGGTCCAATAGGGGAAATTGAAGTAAATCTTTAAAAACCTTCTCTTTCAGTTTCATTAGAGGGTTTAAACCAAATTGTGTGTAGATCATCCGTTGGCTAACAGACTCAATTTTTAGTATCTTTAGAGTGTGCTGGACCCCCTACTGGGGCGGAGGGGTGGGTCCCAAAAGCGGATATTAAGGTAAATGTTTAACATCCATTCCACTTTATGGAGGCAGAAAGAAGGGGCGAGTTGGCTGTTGCTGACAGACATAGAAATAGTTGTATTATAATTATTATAAACATTTTCCCATGATTGATAAATCAGGTGAGTGACACAGGCCCTCTGGGCCTCTTATTATCCTTTTCTAAACTATCACACTAAGCATGGAGTGACCAGATACATGAATATGACTGAATGATTTTGTGTTTCATATCTGATTACATCATAGTTTTGTTTGGGGTTGACATAGACACCATTATTTTCAACAAAACAATATCTTTTTAAATTGGTATAAAAGATCAATCATTGTGTGGTTGTTTGGAGGATAGACACCTTTTACAATTGGAAGAAATCTGTCAATTTTTTATGCCATTTTAATAATAGGCCAATCAAGGACATTTACTTTGAACCCTGAAAGCATTAGAACACCTTTCACAAGAACAATCCCTTCCTAATGAAAATCGTTTTTTGTACCAACAACAAATTGGGAGATTGGGAGAAAGTACCATGATTGTCTTGATTCATCATCTAACAATACAAATATATGAATACATCAATCTCTTCCTATGTCAATTTCGAAAAATACTGATATTGTAGACCGCGTAGTGTTTTGTTGATTTGGTCAACCACATAGAAATCTAACGAGTCTTATTGCAAAAAAAGGTAAGGGAGACATAGAAAAACTTCAAATTATATTAAATTAACCATACACAACTAAACAGGAAAAAACACAAAACCCTAAAAATATTTTTAAGGCGAAACAACTTAGTGCGGAACAACCCAAAGCGAAAGGGATTTAGGACGAAACGACCTGACACCCATCTTTCCACCCAGAACGTTCTGCATGTCTACCTAGCTTCACTTTGTTAAACAGAGGACGATCTCTATATTCCTTCCCCCTTAACACACATGTCTACTGCTGTAATAATAATTACAAATACTTCAAATCCCTTGACAGTAATTTTGACGAGATTTTCTTAAAACGGCCGCTGAAATAACGAAGTCGGTATTTGTTTACAATCGGGGTTTCCCCAACGGGCGGTGACTTATACCGAAAATGACGTCATGATTAGGGGGAATTCTCACATTAGGAAGCTTCCCGATTTTAGCCGATGTTTGCCATCTTCATTATGCATTGAATACCTTAATTTTGTTCAAATAAATGACCTTCACCTTTTTTCAGGATCACTAGTTATTTTGTTTAAACCGTTCAAAAATAATCTTGCAAACAGCCAAGAAGCATAGAATGATAATATTTTGTGAGTAGCATGCTGGAATAAAGAGCACAGAAATTTATATAAATGACCTACTTTGTATGGAACAATATTAGCTATCTAGATAGATTTGATCTTGACCTTGACCACCTTTAAGGTCACAGATATGGAATAAATGATATATGTGACAAACAGACCCACTGGGTTTCTTGTTTTTCAATGCCTGAGTTGTTATATTTCTACTTTATAGGAGAGAAGGTTTCTGACTTACGCCAACTATGGCTTTACCATTGTGTTTGCTGTGGAGATGACCATTAAGGTAGGTGTTGCTGTGGAGATGACCATTAAGGTAGGTGTTGCTGTGGAGATGACCATTAAGGTAGGTGTTGCTGTGGAGATGACCATTAAGGTAGGTGTTGCTGTGGAGATGACCATTAAGGTAGGTGTTGCTGTGGAGATGACCATTAAGGTAGGTGTTGCTGTGGAGATGACCATTAAGGTAGGTGTTGCTGTGGAGATGACCATTAAGGTAGGTGTTGCTGTGGAGATGACCATTAAGGTAGGTGTTGCTGTGGAGATGACCATTAAGGTAGGTGTTGCTGTGGAGATGACAATTAAGGTAGGTGTTGCTGTGGAGATGACCATTAAGGTAGGTGTTGCTGTGGAGATGACCATTAAGGTAGGTGTTGCTGTGGAGATGACAATTAAGGTAGGTGTTGCTGTGGAGATGACCATTAAGGTAGGTGTTGCTGTGGAGATGACCATTAAGGTAGGTGTAGAGGTCATCAGTAACATTGTAGATCTTCCAAAGCTATTTGTTAACAGTGTTGTTGTCACAAACAAGTCATATGATAATAAAACTCACTTTATGAGGATCCACATTTAAAGTCATGGGGGTCAGATGCATTTAAAAAATAATAATGACTACTTTTAAAATATCAGTAGGCCTAGAGTCATGACATTTGATTGGTAGCATGCTAGAATAGAGGGCTATTAAGTTTCTTCAAACAAATGCCCTTGACCCACTTTCTACGTCACAGGAGTCAAATATGTAAAAGCATGATAATGCTACTCAGGTTATTTATTGTTCAATGCTAACGCTACAAGCCGAGCCCAAGACTTCCAGTTAACAAGTCTGATACTCTACTTCGAGTTTTCAGGGTCAAAGTGATTCTTGCGAAAGTATCCCATGGCTCATTGTTTTCTATCATCTGTGTAGCAACATTTCACTTAAAAGCCTACTTATCTAGAATGGCTGCATGGATTTTGATCAAATTTGGTGTGGAGCATAACTATGTGAAAGAGGGGGCTAAATAGGGTAAATTTTGGTCCTTTTCTTTGAATATTGGTAAAGGGATTTTAATCTAAGTTAATCTTATGTATCTTTGGGCCAAGGGGACTAGTCAAGCATTGTATAAATGTAGGGTGTGGCCCACCAGAGTCAGAGGGGCAGGGCCCATTTGGGGATATAGATAAAATGTAATGAGCTAAATGTACTCAAGTTTGTTATAAATAGAGGATTTCCCTACCTCCATCTATATAAATCAAACGATTTTATTTATTTGGTCTGGAGCATTCTTTGGAAAATGGTCTAAATTGCATACAAACAGATGGTGTGGTCCCCAAGGGGGAAAAGGGGTGGGGCCCTAGGGGGGAAATAGTAGTAAATCTTATTCCTTCTTTATTAATGTAGGGATTTCTACAAAATTTGGTTTAGATAAATCTTTGAACAACAGGCTGAAATAAAGGAAAATCATTAAAATTCTTTGCGTCTTTTTAGTAGTAATCTCTGACTAAAATATGGACCTCAACAAATTAGGAACAGAGGTAACAGTGGGGACAGAGACAACAGTGGGGACAGTGACAACAGTGGGGACAGTGACAACAGTGGGGACAGAGACAACAGTGGGGACAGAGACAACAGTGGGGACAGAGACAACAGTGGGGACAGAGACAACAGTGGGGACAGAGACAACAGTGGGGACAGTGACAACAGTGGGGACAGAGACAACAGTGGGGACAGAGACAACAGTGGGGACAGAGACAACAGTGGGGACAGAGACAACAGTGGGGACAGAGACAACAGTGGGGACAGAGACAACAGTGGGGACAGAGACAACAGTGGGGACAGAGACAACAGTGGGGACAGAGACAACAGTGGGGACAGAGACAACAGTGGGGACAGAGACAACAGTGGGGACAGAGACAACAGTGGGGACAGAGACAACAGTGGGGACAGAGACAACAGTGGGGACAGAGACAACAGTGGGGACAGAGACAACAGTGGGGACAGAGACAACAGTGGGGACAGAGACAACAGTGGGGACAGAAACAACAGTTGGGACCGAGGAAACAGTTGGGACAGAGACAACAGTGGGGACAGAGACAACAGTGGGGACAGAGGCAACATTTGGGACAGAGACAACAGTGGGGACAGAGGCAAGGCCAAATTAAGTAAAAAGAGGTCTATCTGAAATCCTTTTGATTCCACACAGCAGGTATCTAAACCCGATTTGATAAAGGGTGTCTTTGACCCAATAAAATTATTTCATTGTTGTATAATCATAAACTTTGGGTGCCCCACCAGCCTCAAATGGGGACATAAGGATGAGAGACAGAGACAATATTTGGAAATATTTTCAGTGTAATATTTAATGAGAATATTTATGCATGATTGTTTAAATAATCAGGTGAGTGATACAGGCCCTCTAGGCCTCTTGTTAAAACTTTTGAACAACTTCTTATAAATACCTAGGAGGCCTACTGTGTGTTCAGTTTGCAAATGGCATTGTAAGTGATATCAAGAATGACTCCTTTTTGAATAAGAAACATGCTAAGGATCATGGTATTTGGCCTGTATCATTAGGATCATGGTATTTGGCCTGTAGCATGTCTGAGTAATAAAAGGTATTACAATATATGATATATTTAGTGTGAATAGTGTTACTATCAAGTTTTGTTATGTAGCTATGACCCACTTTCAAGGTCAGAGATGTGAAATATATTTGACAACAGCATTTTGACAATGTTCATTAACTTCTATAATCCAATAGGTACTTGCTAAGGGGCTTGTAATTGGCAAGCATGCATACCTAAAGAGTGGATGGAACATCATGGATGGATTCCTGGTAGGGATATCACTGGTTGACATCATTATCTCTCTCACAGCCAACAGCAGTCCCAGGATCTTTGGCATCCTGCGTGTGTTCAGGTTACTGCGCACCCTAAGGCCCCTCAGGTTAGTCTTGTTGTTTTCTTTAACACAGTGTAAGTGTAAAACTTTAGCCCCTCAGGTTAGTCTTGTTGTTTTAGTTAATAGTGTGTAAGTGTAAAACTTTAGCCCCTCAGGTTAGTCTTGTTGTTTTCTTTAACACAGTGTTAGTGTAAAACTTTAGCCCCTCAGGTTAGTCTTGTTGTTTTAGTTAATAGTGTGTAAGTGTAAAACTTTAGCCCCTCAGGTTAGTCTTGTTGTTTTCTTTAACACAGTGTTAGTGTAAAACTTTAGCCCCTCAGGTTAGTCTTGTTGTTTTCTTTAACAGTGTAAGTGTAAAACTTTAGCCCCTCAGGTTAGTCTTGTTGTTTTAGTTAACACAGTGTAAGTGTAAAACTTTAGCCTCTCAGGTTAGTCTTGTTGTTTTAGTTTATAGTGTGTAAGTGTAAAACGTTAGCCCCTCAGGTTAGCCTTGTTGTTTTAGTTTATAGTGTGTTAGGGTAAAACTTTAACCCCTCAGGTTAGCCTTGTTGTTTTAGTAAACACAGTGTAAGTGTAAAACTTTAGCCTATCAGGTTAGTCTTGTTGTTTTAGTTTATAGAGTGTAAGTGTAAAACTTTAGCCCCTCGTGTTAGCCTTGTTGTTTTAGTTTATAGTGTGTTAGTGTAAAACTTTAGCCCCTCAGGTAAGCCTTGTTGTTTTAGTTAACACAGTGTTAGTGTAAAACTTTAGACCCTCAGGTTAGCCTTGTTGTTTTAGTAAACACAGTGTAAGTGTAAAACTTTAGCCTCTCAGGTTAGTCTTGTTGTTTTAGTTTATAGTGTGTAAGTCTAAAACTTTAGCCCCTCAGATTAGCCTTGTTGTTTTCTTTAACACAGTGTTAGTGTAAAACTTTAGCCCCTCAGGTAAGCCTTGTTGTTTTAGTTAACACAGTGCTAGTGTAAAACTTTAGCCCCCCAGGTTAGTCTTGTTGTTTTTGTTTATAGTGTGTAAGTGTAAAACTTTAGCCCCTCAGGGTAGCCTTGTTGTTTTAGTTAACACAGTGTTAGTGTAAAACTTTAGACCCTCAGGTTAGCCTTGTTGTTTTAGTTTATAGTGTGTAAGTGTAAAACTTTAGCCCCTCAAGTTAGCCTTGTTGTTGTGTCGCCTGAGAAAAGCTGGTGTAAAACTTAAGCCCCTCAGGTTAGTCTTGTTGTTTTCTTTAACACAGTGTTAGTGTAAAACTTTAGACCCTCAGGTTAGCCTTGTTGTTTTAGTAAACACAGTGTAAGTGTAAAACTTTAGCCTCTCAGGTTAGTCTTGTTGTTTTAGTTTTTAGTGTGTAAGTGTAAAACTTTAGCCCCTCAGGTTAATCTTGTTGTTTTAGTTAACACAGTGTTTGTGTAAAACTTTAGCCCCTCAGGTTAGCCTTGTTGTTTGAGTAAACACAGTGTAAGTGTAAAACTTTAGCCTATCAGGTTAGTCTTGTTGTTTTAGTTTATAGAGTGTAAGTGTAAAACTTTAGCCCCTCGTGTTAGCCTTGTTGTTTTAGTTTATAGTGTGTTAGGGTAAAACTTTAACCCCTCAGGTTAGCCTTGTTGTTTTAGTTTATAGTGTGTTAGTGTAAAACTTTAGCCCCTCAGGTTAGCCTTGTTGTTTTCTTACACACAGTGTTAGTGTAAAACTTAAGCCCCTCAGGTTAGTCTTGTTGTTTTAGGTTTTAGTGTGTAAGTGTAAAACTTTAGCCCCTCAGGTTAGCCTTGTTGTTTTAGTTTATAGTGTGTAAGTCTAAAACTTTAGCCCCTCAGATTAGCCTTGTTGTTTTCTTTAACACAGTGCTAGTGTAAAACTTTAGCCCCTCAGGTTAGTCTTGTTGTTTTAGGTTATAGTGTGTAAGTGTAAAACTTTAGCCCCTCAGGTTAGTCTTGTTAGCTCACCTGGCCCGAAGGGCCAAGTGAGCTGATCCCATGGTGCAGCGTCCGTTGTCCGGTGTCCGGCGTCCGTCAACTTTTTCCTTTAAAATGCTACTTGTCCTGAATGGCTCAGAGGATTTTGACCAAATTTGGTCAGGAGCATCATTGGCCAAAGGGTTCTCAGTTTTGTATAAACGGAGGGTATAACCCCCCTGGGGGCAGAGGGGCGGGGCCAAATAGGGGGAAAATAGGTAAATCTTTAAAAATCTTCTTCTTCTCAACCAATAGAAGGATTTTGACCAAATTTGTCCTAGAGCATCTTTGGACAAAGGAGACTCAAGTTTGTATAAACGGAGGGTGTGGGCCTTCTGGCGGCATAGGAGCGGGGCCCAATAGGGGAAATAGAGGATTTTTTTTCTCCTACTATACAAGTGAAGGGATTTAAACCAAATGCAGTCTGAAGCATGCTTAGGGAGAAAAGAATCAATTTTGTTTAAACTGAGGTGTGTGGATTCCCCTTCTTTGGGGCAGATTAGTGGGGCCCATTAGGGGAAATAGAGGAAAACATTAAAGATCCTTCTCCTTCTGTACCGTTGAAGGGATTTTAACCTAACCAAACTTGTTTTAGAGAATCTTTGGGCAAAGGGAATTGAATATTTATAAATGGAAGATGCAACTTTGTTACTTGTACTCCTTTGATAAACCTGAATGGTACTCAGCAGGTTTTAAATTGAAAAATAAAATACCAGGTGAGCTATTAAGGCCCCTGGGCCTCTTGTTGTTTTAGGTTATAGTGTGTAAGTGTAAAACTTTAGCCCCTCAGGTTAGCCTTGTTGTTTTAGTTAACACAGTGTTAGTGTAAAACTTTAGCCCCTCAGGTTAGCCTTTTTGTTTTAGTTTATAGTGTGTAAGTGTTAAACTTTAGCCCCTCAGGTTAGTCTTGTAGTTTTAGGTTATAGTGTGTAAGTGTAAAAATTTAGCCCCTCAGGTTAGTCTTGTTGTTTTCTTTAACACAGTGTTAGTGTAAAACTTTAGCCCCTCAGGTTGGTCTTGATGTTTTAGTTTATAGTGTGTAAGTGTAAAACTTTAGCCCCTCAGGTTTTCCTTGTTGTTTTAGTTTACGCAGTGTAAGTGTAAAACTTTAGCCCCTCAAGTTAGCCTTGTTGTTTTAGTTTATGCAGTGTAAGTGTAAAACTTTAGCCCCTCAAGTTAGCCTTGTTGTTTTAGTTTATGCAGTGTAAGTGTAAAACTTTAGCCCCTCAAGTTAGCCTTGTTGTTGTGTCGCCTGAGAAAAGCTGGTGACACATAGGTATTGCTATGTCGGCGTCAGCGTCATTGGCGGCATCGGCTGCGTCATCCGCACAGAGGTTTTTCGTGCGATAACTTGAGTGGGCTGATCAAACTCAAACTTTACGCAGTGCTTCCTTACCAAAAGTGCTTACTTGGGATTGCTTTTCAGGTCCAAAGGTCAAAGGTCAAGGGCACTGTTACTATAAATAGAAAATCTGTTTTCGTGCGATAACTTGAGTTTCTTTGGGCTGATCAAACTCAAACTTCATGCGGTGCTTTCTTACCAAAAGTGCTTGCTTGGTATTGCTTTTCAGGTCCGAAGGTAAACAGTCAAGGTCACTGTTACTATAAATAGAAAATCTGTTTTCGTGCGATAACTTGAGTTTCCTTAGGTTGATCAAACTCAAAGTTCATGCAGTGTTTCCTTACCAAAAGTGCTTGCTTGGTATTGCTTTTCAGGTCCAATGGTCAAAGGTCAAGGTCACTGTTACTTTAAATAGAAAATCTGTTTTCGTGCGATAACTTGAGTTTCACTGGGCCGATCAAACTCAAACTTCATGCAGTGCTAAGCATACTTGCATTTTCAAGATTTTTGTTATGGATACCAATGAGACGATACTGGTCTTGCTTGTGGACACCATATTGGAGTGGAATTGAGACAACGAGTTTCCATAGCAAGTTCCTTAAAACTCAGAGTATTCTTCCCAGAATAACAGATTATATAACAAAATGATGCCATCCAAAAACATAATCTATGATTATTGCTTACTTTTAACATTATTTCTTGAAATGAAAAGTGTTTCTATTTCTTCGTAAACTCCCAGCTTCCTGCGCAGGCGACACATCCACTTCAGTGGAATTCTTGTCTTGTTTTGTTGTGACAAGTGATCAAAATCCCAAAACATACATCTGTTTTGACCAGTCTTACAGTAATATGCCAATATAAATTCAGAAAAAAATTGAGACCAAACAAATGATCAAAAATGTTTCTGAACAAATTTATAAAAGTTGTAGTACATAAAAGCACTGATATAGGGTAGGTTGAAGGAAGCTAGCTGTAACATTAATTTTGTTAATTGTTTGGTAAGAACATATAGATCATTGAACTCAAAACAGGAGTTTAGTCCTTAACGCAGTGTTTGTTTTATCTCTGCAGAGTGATCAGTCGAGCCCCAGGCCTGAAGCTTGTTGTTCAAACATTACTGTCCTCACTCAGACCTATTGGTAATATTGTCCTCATCTGCTGCACATTCTTCATCATCTTTGGAATCCTAGGAGTACAGGTGAGACAAAACAGACTTCAGTACATGTTATCACTGTACAGGTGAGACAAAACAGACTACAGTACATGTTATCACTGTACAGGTGAGACAAAATAGACTACAGTACATGTTATCACTGTACAGGTGAGACATATTATTACAGTAGAGGTGTGACCTATTATCCCAGTCGAGTGAAACATGTTATCACAGTACAGGTGAGACGTTATCACTGAACAGGTGAGATATTTTATCACTTTACAGGTGAGACATGTTATCACAGTACAGGTGAGACATGTTATCACAGTACAGCTAGGTGAGACATGTTATCACAGTACAGGTGAGACATGTATGACAGTAAAAGTGTGACATGTTATCACAGTACAGGTGAGACATATTATCGTAGTACAGGTGAGACATGTGTAATCATAGTACAGGTAACTGGCTGTTCCTATTGTAACAATGTTTTGTATTACAGCTGTTTAAGGGTTCATTCTACTGTAAGTAGCTGTTTGTACTGTAATAATGTTTTGTATTACAGCTGTTTAAGGGCTCATTCTACTACTGTAAAGGGCCAAACGTGCATCACGTCAAAAACAGGACCCAATGCTTGAAGGATCAACGCAACATCTGGATCAACCAAAAGTACAACTTTGACAACCTGGGACAGGTAAAGTGCAGCTGTAGTTTAGGATGACACAATAATATAAAAAGTGTACTTTTGATAAGCTGTAGTTTAGGATCAGATGACAAAACCTCAAAAGTTTACTTTGATCAGTTGATGGAGTAAGATTAGACTTAAGAAGGAAAAATTTATTGATGGATTAGGATTAGGCAACAGAAGGATTAGGATTTGATTCCGAATAAATTAGAATAAGGCTATCGAAGGATAAGGATCAGATTCTGTATTGATTAGAATAAGGCTATCATGGATAAGGATCAGATTCTGTATGGATTAGTCTAAGGCTATCATGGATAAGGATCAGATTCTGTAGGGATTAGTATAAGGCTATCGAAGGATTGAGGTCAGATTCTGTATGGATTAGTATAAGGCTATCGAAGGATAAGGATCAGATTCTGTATGGATTAGTATAAGACTATCGAAGGATAAGGATCAGATTCTGTATGGATTAGAATAAGACTATCGAAGGATAAGGTTCAGATTCTGTATGGATTAGAATAGGCTATGGAAGGATGAGGATCAGATTCTGTATGGATTAGTATAAGGCTATGGAAGGATAAGGATCAGATTCTGTATGGATTAGAATAAGGCTATCGAAGGATTGAGGTCAGATTGTGTATGGATTAGAATAAGACTATCGAAGGATAAGGTTCAGATTCTGTATGGATTAGAATAAGGCTATGGAAGGATGAGGATCAGATTCTGTATGGATTAGTATAAGGCTATGGAAGGATAAGGATCAGATTCTGTATGGATTAGAATAAGGCTATCGAAGGATAAGGATAAGATTCTGTATGGATTAGTATAGGGCTATCGAAGGATTGAGGTCAGATTCTGTATGGATTAGTATAAGGCTATCAAAGGATTGAGGTCAGATTCTGTATGGATTAGTATAAGGCTATCGAAGGATTGAGGTCAGATTCTGTATGGATTAGAATAAGGCTATCATGGATAAGGATCAGATTCTGTATGGATTAGAATAAGGCTATCGAAGGATAAGGATCAGATTCTGTATGGATTAGTATAAGGCTATCGAAGGATAAGGATCAGATTCTGTATGGATTAGAATAAGGCTATCGAAGAATTGAGGTCATATTCTGTATGGATTAGAATAAGGCTATCGAAGGATAAGGATCAGATTCTGTATGGATTAGAATAAGGCTATCATGGATAAGGATCAGAGTCTGTATGGATTAGAATAAGGCTACCGAAGGATTGAGGTCAGATTCTGAATGGATTAGAATAAGGCTATCGTGGGATAAGGATCAGATTCTGTATGGATTAGAATAAGGCTATCGAAGGATTGAGGTCAGATTCTGTATGGATTAGAATAAGGTTATCGAAGGATTGAGTTCAGATTCTGTATGGATTAGTATAAGGCCATCGAAGGATTGAGGTCAGATTCTGTAAGGATTAGAATACGGCTATCATGGATAAGGATCAGATTCTATATGGATTAGAATAAGGATATCGAAGGATTGAGTTCAGATTCTGTATGGATCAGTATAAGGCCATCGAAGGATTGAGGTCAGATGCTGTATGGATTAGTATAGGGCCATCGAAGGATTGAGGTCAGATTCTGAATGGATTAGAATAAGGTTATCGAAGGATTGAGGTCAGATTCTGTATGGTTTAGTATAAGGCTTTCAAAGGATTAAGGTCAGATTCTGTATTGATTAGAATAAGGCTATCGAAGGATTGATGTCAGATTCTGTATGGATTAGAATAAGGCTATCGAAGGATTGAGGTCAGATTCTGTATGGATTAGTATAAGGCTATGGAAGGATAAGGATCAGATTCTGTATGGATTAGAATAAGGCTATCGAAGGTTAGGATCAGATTCTGTATGGATTAGTATAAGGCTATCGAAGGATTGAGGTCAGATTCTGTATGGATTAGTATAAGGCTATCGATGGATTGAGGTCAGATTCTGTATATATTAGTATAAGGCTATCGAAGCATTGAGGTCAGATTCTGTATGGATTAGAATAAGGCTATCATGGATAAGGATCAGATTCTATATGGATTAGAATAAGGCTATCGAAGGATTGAGGTCAGATTCTGAATGGATTAGAATTAGGCTATTGTAGGATAAGGATCAGATTCTGTATGGATTAGTATAAGGCTATGGAAGGATAAGGATCAGATTCTGTATGGATTAGAATAAGGCTATCGAAGGATAAGGATCAGAGTCTGTATGGATTATTTTAAGGCTATGGAAGGATAAGGATCAGATTCTGTATGGATTAGAATAAGGTTATCGAAGGATTGAGGTCAGATTCTGAATGGATTAGAATTAGGCTATTGTAGGATAAGGACCAGATTCTGTATGGATTAGTATAAGGCTATCGAAGGATAAGGATCAGATTTTGTATAGATTAGAATAAGGCTTTCGAAGGATTGAGGTCAGATTCTGTATGGATTAGTATATGGTTATCGAAGGATTGAGGTCAGATTCTGTATGGATTAGAATAAGTCTATCGAAGGATAAGGATCAGATTCTGTATGGATTAGAATAAGGCTATGGAAGGATAAGGATCAGATTCTGTATGGATTAGTATAAGGCTATCGAAGGATAAGGATCAGATTCTGTATGGATTAGAATAAGGCTATCGAAGGATAAGGATCAGATTCTGTATGGATTAGTATAAAGCTATGGAAGGATAAGGACCAGATTCTGTATGGATTAGATTAAGGCTATGGAAGAATAAGGATCAGATTCTGTATGGATTAGTATAAGGTTATCGAAGGATTGAGGTCAGATTCTGTATGAATTAGAATAAGGCTGTCGAAGGATAAGGATCAGATTCTGTAGGGATTAGAATAAGGCTATGGAAGGATAAGGATCAGATTTTGTATGGATTAGAATATGGCTATCAAAGGATAAGGATCAGATTTTGTATGGATTAGAATATGGCTATCAAAGGATAAGGATCAGATTTTGTATGGATTAGAATAAGGCTATCGTAGGATAAGCATCAGATTCTGTATGGATTAGTATAAAGCTATTGAAGGATAAGGATTAGATTCTGTATGGATTAGAATAAGGCTATCGAAGGATAAAGATCAGATTCTGTATGGATTAGTTAAAGGCTATGGAAGGATAAGGATCAGATTTTGTATGGATTAGAATATGGCTATCAAAGGATAAGGATCAGATTTTGTATGGATTAGAATAAGGCTATCGAAGGATAAGGATCAGAATCTGTATGGATTAGAATAAGGCTATCGAAGGATAAGGATCAGATTCTGTATGGATTAGTATAAGCATATAGAAGGATTGAGGTCATATTCTGTATGCATTAGAATAAGGCTTTCGAAGGATAAGGATCAGATTCTGTATGGATTAGTATTAGGCTATCGAAGGATTGAGGTCAGATTCTGTATGGATTAGAATAAGGCTGTCGAAGGATAAGGATCAGATTCTGTATGGATAAGAATAAGGTTATCGAAGGATTGAGGTCAGATTCTGAATGGATTAGAATAAGGCTATCGAAGGATAAGGATAAGATTCTGTATGGATAAGAATAAGGCTATCGAAGGATAAGGATCAGATTCTGTATTGATTAGTATAAGGCTATGGAAGGATAAGGATCAGATTCTGTATGGATTAGAATAAGTTTATCATGGATAAGGATCAGATTCTGTATGGATTAGAATAAGGCTATCGAAGGATTGAGGTCAGACTCTGAATGGATTAGAATAAGGCTATCGAAGGATAAGGATCAGATTCTGTATGGATTAGTATAGGCTATCGAAGGATAAGGATAAGATTCTGTATGGATTAGAATAAGGCTATCGAAGGATAAGGATCAGATTCTGTATGGATTAGAGTAAGGCTATCAAAGGATTGAGGTCAGATTCTGTATGGATTAGTATAAGGCTATCGAAGGATAAGGATCAGATTCTGTATGGATTAGTATTAGGCTATCGAAGGATTGAGGTCAGATTCTGTATGGATTAGAATAAGGCTATCGAAGGATAAGGATCAGATTCTGTATGGATTAGAATAAGGCTATCGAAGGAGTGAGGTCAGATTCTGTATGGATTAGAATAAGGTCATCGAAGGATTGAGGTCAGATTCTGTATGGATTAGTATAAGGCTATGGAAGGATAAGGATCAGATTCTGTATGGATTAGAATAAGGCTATCAAAGGATAAGGATCAAATTCTGTATGGATTAGTATAAGGCTATCGAAGGTTTGAGGTCAGATTCTGTATGGATTAGTATAAGGCTATCGAAGGATAAGGATCAGATTCTGTATGGATTAGTATAAGGCTATCGAAGGATTGAGGTCAGATTCTGTATGGATTAGAATAAGGCTATCGTAGGATAAGGATCAGATTCTGTTTGGATTAGAATAAGGCTATCGAAGGATTGAGGTCAGATTCTGTATGGATTAGAATAAGGTTATCGAAGGATTGAGGTCAGATTCTGTACGGATTAGTATAAGGCTATCAAAGGATTGAGGTCAGATTCTGTAAGGATAAGAATAAGGCTATCATGGATAAGGATCAGATTCTGTATGGATTAGTATAAGGCTATGGAAGGATAAGGATCAAATTTTGTATGGATTTGAATAAGGCTATCGAAGGATAAGGACCAGATTTTGTATGGATTAGAATAAGGCTATCGAAGGATAAGGATCAGATTCTGTTTGGATTAGAATAAGGCTATCGAAGGATTGAGGTCAGATTCTGAATGGATTAGAATAAGGCTATGGAAGGATAAGGATCAGATTTTGTATGGATTAGAATAAGGCTATCGAAGGATTGAGGTCAGATTCTGAATGGATTAGACTAAGGCTATCGTAGGATAAGCATCAGATTCCTTATGGATTAGTATAAGGCTATGGAAGGATAAGGATCAAATTTTGTATGGATTTGAATAAGGCTATCGAAGGATAAGGATCAGATTTTGTATGGATTTGAATAAGGCTATCGAAGGATAAGGACCAGATTTTGTATGGATTAGAATAAGGCTATCGTAGGATAAGGATCTGATTCTGTATGGATTAGTATAAAGCTATGGATGGATAAGGCTCAGATTCTGTATGGATTAGTATAAAGCTATGGATGGATAAGGCTCAGATTCTGTATGGATTAGTATAAAGCTATGGATGGATAAGGCTCAGATTCTGTATGGATTAGTATAAAGCTATGGATGGATAAGGATCAGATTCTGTATGGATTAGTATAAGGCTATCGAAGGATTGAGGTCAGATTCTGTATGGATTAGAATAAGGCTATCGTAGGATAAGCATCAGATTCTGTATGGATTAGTATAAAGCTATGGATGGATAAGGATCAGATTCTGTATGGATTAGAATAAGGCTATCGTAGGATAAGCATCAGATTCTCTATGGATTAGTATAAAGCTATGGATGGATAAGGCTCAGATTCTGTATGGATTAGTATAAGGCTATGGAAGGATAAGGATCAGATTTTGTATGGATTTGAATAAGGCTATCGAAGGATAAGGATCATATTCTGTATGGATTAGTATAAGGCTATCCAAGGATAAGGATCAGATTCTGTATGGATTCGTATAAGGTTATCGAAGGATTGAGGTCAGATTCTGTATGCATTAGAATAAGGCTTTCGAAGGATAAGGATCCGATTCTGTATGGATTAGATTAAGGCTATGGAAGGATAAGGATCAGATTCTGTATGTATTAGTATAAGGTTATCGAAGGACTGAGGTCAGATTCTGTATGGATTAGAATAAGGCTGTCGAAGGATAAGGTTCAGATTCTGTATGGATTAGTATAAGGCTATGGAAGGATAAGGATCAGATTTTGTATGGATTAGAATAAGGCTATCGAAGGATAAGGATCAGATTTTGTATGGATTAGAATAAGGCTATCGAAGGATAAGGATCAGATTCTGTATGGATTAGTATAAGGCTATCGAAGGATTGAGGTCAGATTCTGTAAGGATTAGAATAAGGCTATCATGGATAAGGATCAGATTCTGTATGGATTAGAATAAGGATATCGAAGGATTGAGGTCAGATTCTGAATGGATTAGAATAAGGCTATCCTAGGATAAGCATCAGATTCTGTATGGATTAGTATAAAGCTATGGAAGGATAAGGATCAGATTCTGTATGGATTAGAATAAGGCTGTCGAAGAATAAGGATCAGATTCTGTATGGATTAGTATAAGGTTATCGAAGGATTGAGGTCAGATTCTGTATGGATTAGAATGAGGCTGTCGAAGGATAAGGATCAGATTCTGTGGGGGTTAGTATAAGACTATGGAAGGATAGGAATCAGATTCTGTATGGATTAGAATAAGGCTTTCGGAGGATAAGGATCAGATTCTGTATGGATTAGAATTAGGATATCGAAGGATTGAGGTCAGATTCTGAATGGATTAGAATAAGGCTATCCTAGGATAAGCACTGTATGGATTAGTATAAGGCTATGGAAGGATAAGGATCAGATTGTGTATGGATTAGAATAAGGCTATCGAAGGATAAGGATCAGAATCTGTATGGATTAGGGTCATATTCTGTATGGATTAGAATAAGGCTATCGAAGGATAAGGATCAGATTCTGTATGGATTAGAATAAGGCTGTCGAAGGATAAGGATCAGATTCTGTATGGATTAGTATAAGACTATGGAAGGATAAGAATCAGATTCTGTATGGATTAGAATAAGGCTTTCGAAGGATAAGGATCAGATTCTGTATGGATTAGAATAAGGCTACCAAATGATAAGGATCAGATTCTGAATGGATTAGAATAAGGCTACCAAAGGATAAGGATCAGATTCTGTCTGGATTAGAATAAGGCTATCGAAGGATAAGGATCAGATTCTGTATGCATTAGTATAAGGCTATCGAAGGATTGAGGTCAGATTCTGTATGCATTAGAATAAGGCTTTCGAAGGATAAGGATCAGATTCTGTATGGATTAGTATAAGGCTATCATGGATAAGGATCAGATTCTGTATGGATTAGAATAAGACTACCAAAGGATAAGGATCAGATTCTGTATGGATTAGAATACGACTATTGAAGGATTGGGGTCATATTCTTGATGGATTAGAATAAGGTTATCGAAGGATTGAGGTCAGATTCTGAATGGATTAGTATAAGGCTATCGTAGGATTAGGATCAGATTCTGTATGGATTAGAATAAGGCTATCGAAGGATAAGGATCAGATTCTGAATGGATTAGAATAAGGTTATCGAAGGATTGAGGTCAGATTCTGAATGGATTCCTGAGGGATCTTTCTCAAATTTTATATGTAGGTTCCCCTTGGTCCTAAGCTGTGCAGTACAACTATTGAGACTGATCAGGGATCTTTCTCAAATTTTATATGCAGGTTCCCATTGGTCCTTAGCTGTGCTGGGCATTTTTTGAGAGTAATCCGATAAACAACATGGCCGACAGGCAGCCATCTTTGATTTTGATATAGACAGTTTATCGCTATTTCTCGAGAAGTATCAAAGGGATCTTTCTCAAATTTTTTATGTAGGTTCCCCTTGGTCCTTAGCTGTGCAGGGCAATTTTTGAGACTGATCGGATAAACAACATGGCCGACAGGCAGCCATCTTTGATTTTGATAGTGTAGGTTTGTTACCGCTATTTCTCCAGAAGAACAAGAGGGATCTTTCTCAAATTTTATATGTAGGTTCCCCTTGGTCCTAGCTGTGCAGGGCAATTTTAGAGAATGATCGGATAAACAACATGGCCGACAGGCAGCCATCTTGGATTTTGATAGTGAAAGTTTGTTATCGATATTTCTCGGAAAGTACGGGAGGGATCTGTCTCAAATTTTATATGTAGGTTCCCCTTGATCTCTCGTTGTGCATGATATATTTTGAGACTGATCATAAAAACAAAATGGATTAAAAGAAGAACTAAACAGATCTTTCTCATATTGCAATGATCGATTCTATTTCTTTCACTTAATTTAAGTACTGTACTAGTAAATATGTGAAATGACAAACTCACTTTGAAGGTTGGCTTTCATGCACATCAGTATTAAGTTTAGATCAAAAGTTACCTCAAGGTGCATTTACTGTTAACATGACTCGATCAAACAGATAAGAGGAAAGAAGAGAAAAGATCAAACTGACAAAGAACTAATGAAGATGGTACAAAGGTGGGCGCCAAGATCCCTCTGGGATCTGGATCTCTTGTTTTTTTTTTCAATCTCAATTGAAAGCTTTTTAACTAGCACTGTCAGCTTTAACATAGTTTTCCATTTGCACCCAAGGAAAGTGTGTCCACATTATATTAACTGCATTAAAATTAAGGTGTATTATTTTTAACATAAACACAAATATGATGGAAAATTCTTGAATTATCACATTTTGTTTGAATGTGAAAATTATCATGAAAAAACTAAAACATTGTATTTGAAGGAAGGTTAAAATGAGTTGCTGTGCTACTAGTGCTAATACTTGGTGTAAATGTTATTATTTAGTGCTATAATTACAGGCACTGATGGCTCTGTTTGTGTTGGCCTCTAAGGATGGCTGGGTCAGTATCATGTACACTGGACTGGACGCAGTGGGTGTAGACCAACAGGTAATCTTACAGCAAAGGGTCAAGGTTTCAGGGGAACTTTTTGTTGAAAGTGTTCATTTATGTGCCTTTCAGATTTTAAATATGCATCAGTATTTTTAAACAAGTATTATCTCCCTTACTAAACCTCTCACTTAGTGAAGGGGTATATATTAATCACTTTTTCAGTACGTCCATATATCTGGCATCTGTGATTCAGTGCATCCATGCACAGCAAAAAGCTTGTGCACAAGATCGTTCATAAACCCCTGAACACTGTATATTTCACACATGTACATCAGTATAGTAATATCAAGTTCTACACCTGGTTTGATTTTGGTGGTCATCTGTCAAGGTTATAGGGTCAAGGTCATAGGCAGGGTGTATATCTTTGTGAGCCTCTGCTCACTGGTCACTTTGTATTCAATATAAAAGATCTTTACAATGCCTGAGAGGAATTTTTCAAATTATATAGAGTTGTATCTAAACGTTATATATTATTATAAATGTTGTACATTATTATAAACAGGGGTCTCACGTTTCCCCCTGGGGAGGGGGTAAACTTAACTATAGTTTATATAGGGAAATCACATCTTGGACCAGCATTTGTTTAATTTCCATTGGAATTAATTCAAACTTGGTTAGCATTATCAGTATTGGATAGCAGTTTGATGGTATGCACAAATCAGTCCTGACTGACCCCCAGGGGCTGATGGGCAGGGCCAAAAAGGGTCAGATTGACTAAAATTTCAAAAATCTTCTTCTCAAGATCCAGATATGGTAGAATCAATTACTCTTCATAGATGGAAGGGTCTTAAGGTGCTTTACAGAGGTAATGAATTTCATGACCCTGGGATCTCACATTTCCCCCTGGGGAGGGGGTAAACTTTACTATAGTATATATAGGGAAATCACATTTTGGACCAGCATTTGTTTAATTTCCATTGGAATTAATTCAAACTTGGTTAGCATTATCAGTATTGGATAGCAGTTTGATGATATGCACAAATCAGCCCTGACTGACCCACAGGGGCTGATGGGTGGGGCCAGGAAGGGTTGAATTGACTGAAATTTCAAAAATCTTCTTCTCAAGACCAAGATATGGTAGAATCAATCAATCTTCATAGATGGAAGGGTCTTATGGTGTTTTACCAAAATTGTGAATTTCATGACCCTAGGGTCTCACGTTTCCCCATGGGGAGGGGGTAAACTTTACTATAGTTTATAGGGAAATCACATTTTGAACCAACATTTGTTTAATTAGGGCCCCGTATCTCCGATATTGGTGCCCTATATGAATCACTCTGTCTGTCTGACTGTCTGTCTGTCCGTCCACAAAGGTCAAAGTCATAAGGTTCAAAGGTCCAGGTCAAATTTTGCATCTTTTCACTGATGAACAGTTTGTTATGACATGATGAAGCAAAGTTAATCAGAATTAAACAAGGAGTCAACTGACCAAAGGTCAAGGTCATCATGTCAGGTCTAGGTCAAAAGTGGTAAAATTTTGTAGCTTTTCACTAATGAGCATTTTATGACATCATAAAGCAAAGTTGGTTGGTTGGAACAAAAAGACACACTGAGGTAAAAAGTCAAGGTCAAAGGTGAAGGTCATTAGGTTCAAAGGTCAATGTTGTACATTATTATAAACGTTTTATATTATTATAAATGTTGTTCATTATTATAAACGTTTTATAGTATTATAAATGTTGTATATTATTATAAATATTATACAATATAAATGTTGTATATTATTATAAATATTATACATTATTATAAATGTTGTATATTATTATAAATGTTTTATATAATCATAAATGTTGTATATTATTGTAAATGTTGTATATTGCTAAAAATATTATACATTATTATAAATTATTATAAATGTTGTGTATTATTATAAATGTTGTACATTATTATAAATATTATACATTATTATAAATGTTGTGTATTATTATATATATTATACATTATTATAAATGTTGTATATTATTATAAATATTATACATTATTATAATAAATGTTGTGTATTATTATAAATATTATACCCTATTATAAATGTTGTGTTTTATTATAAATATTATACATTATCATAAAAGTTGTATATTATTATAAATATTATACATTATTATAAATGTTGAACATTATTATAAATATTATACATTATTATACATGTTGTGTATTATAACAGCCACAGATCAACTTTAATGAATGGCGCCTGGTGTACTTCATCTCATTCCTATTGCTGGTTGGCTTTTTTGTCCTAAACATGTTTGTTGGAGTGGTTGTAGAGAACTTTCACAAGTGTCGAGAGAACCAGGAGAAGGAAGAGAGAGCTATAAGGGCTGCAAAACGATCACAGAAGATGGAGGCCAAGCGAAAGAGTGAGC